ATTGATATATTAATCTTGATTAGTTAATAAACTGATAATATCTTTATTTACACTCAGTTTTATAAGCATTTTCATTCTTCATAATGAGTAGAGAGTGAGATTGAAAGTATTAAAATATATAGAAGTATTTAAGCATTCTTTCAGTACTTTTATATTTGATTCTGTAAATGTTGAAATTGTATAAGTTTCTTATTATAATAATTATTAAATCTCTTTATATTAGCATTGTTAAGTTACATGTATATTAGCTATTTATTATTATTATAATTTTAATATTACTCAGAGAGTCAGAGCTACTGTGATATTATATTTATACTCACATTTAAAAGTTCTCTTATATTATTATTAGATATGATTATATCAATCATTGAATATGTAATTATATAAATATTTTATACATTTAAGATATCAGAACTTTTAAATCTTTTACTGATATTCTCTTATAAAATTTTACTCTCTTTATAAGATTTTATTACAGAGTTAAAGTAATTGATAAGTAAGCTTCTATCTAAAGACTCAGTATTCACTTAACTATTTAACTATTTCTCTATTTCTTATATGTTGTTATATATTCAGATATCTCAGTGAATAATTATTTCTAATAAGAAGATAATATATGAATAATCATTTCTAATAAGAAGATAATGAATATTTTTCTAGTATAAGAGACCTACACTGAATAGATCAGTATAATATATATAAATCTTATATAATAAAGAGAAAAACATTAGAGAAGAAAAAGAAAGAGAAAGTGCAAGAATCAGTGATTAAAGTGAATATTTATACATGTATGTGATAATATACACAGTGAGACTTCAGAGTGGAAGAATCTATACATGTTCATAACAGTCAAGAATCAGTGATTAAGAGTGACTGAGAATCAGAGCATACACGGCCGAGGATCAGTGATTGAGAGTGGCTGAGAATCAGAGCATACGTGTTCAAGAATGAAGCGGTTGAAATCTGTGGAGTGTAATGGAATAGTCTATATGATTGATCGGGCGCAGCCCGCCACAAGTAGAGAGTTTAGAGAACTAATTAAATCTCTTTTTCAAGCTGCTTTTATTCTTTTTTTTACATTTTTCATAAAAGATAATAGTGAATATAATAGAATAGAATAGTTTCAAAGTCTGAGTAATAACTAGAAATGAATATTCTCATTTATAAATATTTAAAATAGTATTGATAACATTAATAGCTGAAGAGTGCTCTTTACGCAATAGCTTCAGTTTGAGAGACATTTTTTGGCTCATAGAGTGAAGATTGAATGATTGAGATATCAGGGAAGAAGCAGGGTATAATGATATATGCTCAGCACTGAGCCGCTAGTACACTCATATATTGGACACAACTGTACTTCACTCAGGTACTCCGCAACGCACGATCAAATGGGATCAGCAAAGACTTCATGTACTAGCTTGAGTCTTTTGAAAACCTGCTTCTTCCTTCACTTGAAGATTTGTTTGATTTGCTTCCTGATCCGTTTGTGGTAGTTTCCGCATGAACATTCAGAAACCGAGGGGCAACCAGGGCCTATACCCATATCACAACACCTCCATTGATATTGGCCGCTGATGCACTGTGAACGGCCGGGCCTGTGCTGTATTGAGGCATCTCTTGACGGTTTCTCAGTACTATTTTCTTTCGTGTGTATATTTACTGAACACAGCCGGTGTGTGTATCTCTTTGATATTGCATGAAGTTAGCCCGGAACGAACACGGAAACAATACTAACACTCCACTAGAACGAACTTCTTGAATACCCTCCATTGATCTAGCGTATTGCCATTTCCGCCATCAGGCCGGCCACAGTTATATGTCCCCTAAACTCCATCATCTTGAGCATGCCAAAAATTTGCCGGCGTCCTTCAGAACCTAGGCACGATCCTACCCCAAGTGAATTCCTGATAGAGAAAGGAGAAGAGGGCTTTTGTCAAACACACTCCACAACCAGTACAACGGTAGATGTAATCATTTATAAACCTACTATTAGGTGCAAGCTGTGCCTCACAACCCCCTCCAAGTCGACAAAGTTGCCGTATGGGTTGATTTCGTTCCGAACCAAATTTAGATGGGCTTAGTGAGACTCGTGCTAGCGGTGTCGAAGGACGTTCCTGCTTCTTGCTCTGATGGAGAGATTTGCTCCCAAGTCTTACTTCCTTTGAGTAGAATGGAGGACTCAATTAATATCATTCTATCTAATTCAACAAGGCTCCTGGAGCCTGTTTCAATGACAAGTCCGCCAGATTGTTCTATATGGGGTGTACTCCTCAAAGACTGCAAAGCAAACGCTGATGAAATGTGGATACGGACAGGGTGAAGGGCGACTACTCTCTTTGTAAACTGCTAAGTTTTAGTTTTTTCAAGCCTTGAGTAGTGAAAATCGGCATTGTTTCAAACCTCTTTGCATGGCTTTGGGGCTCAATCATTATTGGAAAGTTCTTTTTGATGTAATGGCCGTATATTTCATTTTCCAAGGCCATACGTGTGCAGCTACTGCAGAAAATGAAGCCACTACGGCCTCACCGACTCTATTTTTAATGCTGATTCTGTCAACGGCAATGGCTGTTGAAGTAACGAGCAGGCATTCTGGTTCACTCTGAGGCAAAGATTGACTGATATAATTGATGAGAACTCAATTGAGAGTAATTTTGCACCTCTATTAAACAAGCAAGTGAGTGGTTTGATCTATAAGAGCAGCTGGACAAGCAGTGCATCAGTATTAATATCGCAGTTGCCATTCTGTGGGCTGGTGGATATCTTTTAGCGGTGAACTGCGTAAAGAGAATTGGCCCATATCACATTGAATGACCTCGGTTGACTGCAGAGGACATAGCATCCTGGGTGGACGGTGACAGGAATTCATTTGGCTTTCTTGGCTGGGAGTCCGCAGGAATACAGACCGAGAGGACACTCGTATGCAACCTCGCAGGGTAGCTTTTGCCGGGGGCGATGGCGTCAAGCAATCTATTTGTCCATTGCAATCCAAACAGACGAGGAAATCAAATACATCCTGTCACAACCAATTCGCGGACTATTGTCCAATTTCAGAATTGTATCCACACTGTCAAATCATCATCCAAGGTGTCACCATTGAACACCCTCATGAGCAAATTGTCGTTACACAATGCTCCTAGAACATCCAACCAGTGGTCGCGGTGCAGCACCTGGGCCAAGTCCTGTATAAACATAGAAGGAGCATGATCGCAAGCTTTCATTTGCCTGGCATCCAGTACTGACGGGCGGTGAAAGGTGTTTTCAAAACCTGCTGCATTGAACAAACCTGCGTCCTTCACCTGAACTAGTCTGGTTTGGATATTTTATACCAGTGAATTGTATTAGCAATCAATGTATGAAAAAGTGACCCATCAGTGGAGGGCTGTAGGCCTTGGACAGTCTCTATACCCAGGTCAGTCTCTATACTCAAGGGGGCTCTATACCCAGGAGGACTCTATTCTCAGGGGATCTCTATACCTGGGGGGCTCTATACCTGGGGCCCTCTATGATACGCTGCAGTCTGAAAGCCAAGACTGAGCTTCCCCTTTCTACTCACGACGACGACAATCGACCAACATCGCGAGCATGTTGAAATGGCAAAGGCCAGCCCATTCTAATATTGTTTTTTTTTTTTTTTTTTTTTTTTTTTTTTTTTTTTTTTTTTCAGGCTCTTGGGAGACGAGACTGTGTCTGTGTCTGTATCTTCGTCGGTTGTGCTGCGGAGACCCCCCGCGGTCCCTCGGCTGGATCTGAGTTTGACCAAACCAATGTTTTCAGGGGAACCAATCAGTTTCCAAATCTATTTGAAGGGCTTTGCCGCCAGCCAAAAGCGTTCTCGGACATGCATACACGACACGGGCGGTGTGGGACATCTTTATGCTTTCTACTCCGTACATCCCGTCCGTGAAAGAAACAGAAAAATGGAAGAAGATCGAGTGAGTCTCGCTTGCTTGGAGAGCTGCTCTCTCTCTCATGTTCACTTGCCCATTGTTGCCGCCAATTATGGAACAAATAATCCGACATTGCTTCTTTGCACGGGAGGCACAATGCTAGAGAAAATTCTAATTGAATGAATGATATTACGGCTTCATGGGTTCTGCAACCCTAACAGCCCTCTCCGTTTGTCGATGGCCGCTTGTCAATCCGAGCCTGCATCTCAGTCACTAAAACTCCAAGTCTAACCACCGTCTACCTACCCCAAATCAGCCAGATGGGCATGTGGATTCTCTTCGTATTTGAATGCACTATGGTGAAACCATTAAGGATCGCTAATAATACCTGCCAAATCCATTTAGAACCCCAATGCGTGTCTGCTTGTTGGGAACACTAGTCAACTTCTAGCATGCCTCTGGGATCTGCATATCGTACCTGGAAGCACGCAAATACGATATCAGCTTCGGGGGAGCGATAGCTCTTCTCACCTCTCCCCTATAACCGTTAGCCCCATTCGGCTTTCTCTTTTTTCCTCCCATCATACCCTTGCACTACTCGTATTGCCAGTGGTACTACCTCTCTGCGTGGGAACTTGTTAACAAAGATCGGATATCATGGGAAACGCGGAAGCGATCAGTAGAGACTCCCAAAATTGCGAATATATAAATTATTAGGCCTTCTCTCATGAACCATGGACGGTCAGCATCATCCACAGACTCCTCCAGCACATAGGGCACCTTGAGCATTATTTCTCCAGCTTTTGCAGAATATACCAAGGAATATGACAAACTCCTCCCCCTCCGTCTGGCAGATTTCATACCGGAATCTGGCCTGGCCAAAAGAGAGATGACTTGACTCAATTGGACCCCAGAACGATAGAGACAATTCTATAAGGAAGCAAAGTACAAGTACGTGTGTAGCCCTCGTTGAAATATCAAGGCTAATGTTGGATTAGATGTCACTTCCTTCGCAATGGCAAACATGACATTGTACACAGAGGCCGGCGAACTCATAATCTCACTTGAGCGCTTTAGGCCTATGTTGAAGTCACTTCAGTGCGGAAGCAAATGATGTTAACCTTCACTTCAAAAGCGAATTTCGAGTACGCCATCCGCGCATGGAAATGGGTAAACGAGGGTGAGACCCATAAATTCATCATGATCGCGGATGATCCAAGCTGTGGTCGTCTTGGTGAGCGAGTCCCCTACTTGATTCACGATGCGGACTACGATGAGAATAATTTCATTGCCTATCTTTATGGCGAAGAGAAAAAATGGGAAGAAGTAGCTCATACTTTTGACCTCGAGTATGGCAGCGCCGAATTGCCCGACTCCTCTCAATCGCTTCACAAACGCCTGGGGATTTTCGAAGAAGGTTAATCTCCCGATCAAAAAGCGCTTCAACAGCAGCATTTTATTAATATAAAAGATCCAATCAGATCTATGAGACTAGACTGCTTTGACTGTGGCACATCTGGTCGCTTTCGAGGCCAGATGAAAATCAAAGTCAAGTGGCTGAAGCCACAGGAGGTTCCCCTGACTATTTCGCCGGACAAGGTTCGAGGAGATCTAGGACTTAAACTCACCACCAAGAGACAAAATCCCCGGTAGATTCTCCTTGAGTCAGTCGAAAAAGCTATAACTATTCCTATCTGGGGCACCAGTATTAAAGGAATAGGTGAAGTTGGTTTTATATTAAAGCTTTCATTGGGTATTTCAACACGTAACAAGAACTCCGCCATAGCTAACTTGCAAAAGTTTATGACCAAAAATTCTCCGGCTGGGCACCCACCTTCTTGGCGAAGCCATTTTCGCTGGACTCAAAGTACAAGGGTAGTGCCAATGTGTACCTGCAGAACATTGGGCCGTCCTTTAAAATTTTCAAAAACGGAGTGGAGGCCATTCCTCCGGCTAAATTACCCCTGTTTGAGACTACAGTCGATTCGTACAATAGTAAAGGCTCCACATGCGCAAAGAGGAATAAACAAGGCATCAGTATCGACACTTATTATTATTAATGCTGGTGGAGCTCTTACAATCCGTGCCGGGACAAGTGGGGATACTGTGATTACTGCAGATTTGAACGACGTACCTCTTGTTAATTTCAAGACGGGGATAGACATGGACGAGGCCCAGGAGTTGGAGGGAGGAGGCATTCCACGTCTGCCAACGCCAGAGCCAGGGGATAAACCGAAGCCGAAGCACAGCCAAAGCCAAAACCAAAACCCAAGCCGAAGCCCACGAAAAGTGGCCGCGGATGGTGCCCGATATAGATCGTGTCCCAATACTACCAAAAAGTGCATTGCGCACGGCCAGTACCCAATTGGAACAAAGGTATACATAAGCTGCAAAGGCAAGGGAAAAAGTATCCATGGCTATGAGTATGAATCCGTCGCCTCGCAGCCCCCTCTCAGAGTCCCTATTTTCTATTCTTCATCATTCCTGCCTTCTTTATATTTACGTATCCGTCAAAACACTTTCGGAACACGAGGCTGATCTGGCCATTCTTCTACAGCTGGTGGGACAAAACAAAGCAGAAAAATCATGCAGAGGTAAGGAAGACTCCGTCTCTATTCATATTTCCCTACTTGACCTAACGGGCGAAACTCTAGATAAACTCCCTACTTGTTGAATGGAGTCATATCTTATAGGTTTCCTTTCCTTCTAAGCCGTCCAAACGGGGGGGAATGGTTATTTGGATAAGATGATCGCGCACTAAATGTGTACGTGAGGAGGGTGTCAGTTCTGCACATACCAAGCCAATTCCACAATGCTGTCCTTTTTTGTGTTTTCTTATTGAGTACATGTTATGTATTTACCTTCTTTTCACTCCTTAAAACTACTTCTTGCCTACGAATGGGCTGAATAATATATTTCCCCCCCCCCCCCCCCCCTCTTTTTTATTTTTATTTTTAATTTTTATTTTTAATTTTTTTTAATTTTTTATATTTTTTCACTTGAGAGCGTAGTGGCTATCTATTCAAATGGTGATGATCAAAATCCAATAGTGAAGATTGGTGAGATCTAGTCATACAAACTAATACATTTGCTTAAAGTAGATTTTCAGAGGGTGACTCGCATGAAGGAAAGGGGGAAAATCAAATGGATGAATTCGGCTGAAAAGGTGAATCACAAGCATTGAGAGCAAGTGCACAACCAACTCTCCAAGGGTATCATATATCATATCCATTGCGCGCAACATAGAGACATAAATTAAAAAAGTGAATAACACAAGCCTGTGCTTTTACTTGAGTGTATTAAAAAGGGGGATCAAAACCTGTCAAACCAAATCACAGAAAGCCATTCATTCCTCAGCATGCCGCATACCCAACATCACCAAACGACAGCACAAATTCTAAATATTCTTCCTCCCCTTCTTCAGCCTCCCAATGGGCATGTCCCCCCTGCGCCACAAACGAAATATGCCCTACCTGCTCCTCAGACCGTACATCACCCAGCATCACCCTGACATCCCTCAGCTGGCGCGTTCCAGCGCATCCTGGAACGAGCCCGCAGACACCGGCGCGTGTGGGTTATCCCGCGTGTATGACGAGACAAAGCCTAGGATATCTGGCGCGAGCGTGATGCGCTTTAGCACGACGCTGGCTAGCGCTAGGATCTGTAGCACGAGGGAAGATGATGAGGAACACGGCGAGCCAGGAGCGGTCGCACTTGTACACCTCGCCAACGTATCTGAAGCCGCGGGCTTCCACGGGCACGAAGCAATACAGCGGTAGGGCCTCGGTAGAGCAATCACCCATTGCTTCGTACGTGGCCGGATCCTTGGGCAGCGGGGTGCCGCGGTAGATGGTTGCAAAGCTGGCTGGCCGGGAGGAGTTGAGGCCTACTTCCATGCGTGCGGAGAGGACTTTTGGATCCAGTTTCCACAGGTCCATGTCGATGCGGCCGCCGCGGAGGAGGGAGGTGTCGTTCATCCAGCGCTCGGTGAGTGTGGCGGAGTAGAGGTAGTTGGTCGATGTGTCGCGGTCGGTTGCCGTGGGGAGGAAATAGAAGGTGAAATTTATGTAGTGAGTTAGGGACTTGTAATTTTCGACTCGCTATGAGGGGCGCATGGCTTGCACGCGGCAGGATTCAGATTGGCATTCGACTCGAGAGTCGACTGAGAGGTTGCCGAGGGTGCAGTTTGCCAGTCCCCAGGTGTGATTGCAGCCATGCTGGGTTCTGGATCCGAACATGAATTTGGCGCAGGAGGATATGTCGCCGCCAACCCCATCGGTCATTGCTGGGAATTCATCAACAAGATAAGTGAGCATAGAGTGTCCGGGTCCGCTGCTCGCGCTAACCATATTATATGACAGTGTAGCGAGATCTTCTTTTTCCGCGAGGATGTTGTTCAAACACTGGACATCAAAGTGATGTGATGTTCGGTGAACGTCACGTTCCTTCAGCCACGGGCCTTCCGACAGGAAGACCTGGAGAGAGGTAAATTGTACAGCAGAATTCCAGTCTACCATGCGCCAATCGCTGTCGTTCTCACCCGGCTTCAACGAACTTATATCCGGAATTTTGACATTACCCCAAAGGCCCATGCCGGTTCCCGCAATGGTTTCAGAGGCCATCAACGATGATGTGTAGAGGGATGCTACTAGATCTCCCCCGGTTTGTATGGAACTAGTCCCAATCAGCGAGGTATCATGGATTGAAAGGGGAGATATATACCAGTTGGTAGCATTATAGGCTATTTGCCTTTTGTCAGCATAAAGTCAAGATGCAGGAACAAAATGTGAAGCATGTCGTACCCCAAGCCTTATTCCTCTCTCCGCCCTAAAGGTGCCATATATTCGAAAGAAGTAGCCGACCAGAGCTGCGAAAATAATCGGGAAAATCGTGGGAGTCAACGTCGTGGCCAATATGATTCGATCACCACGCTTGCTCCTCGTGTCCCCGTCTATCGAAGCCGCTTAGATTGCAATGACTATTTCTCATTGTCAGACCAAAAGATCGGGGACAGGTAAAGATTGGAAGGAATAAGAGAACAAATGATGGATGAACAATTAAAAATAAATAAAATAAAAATGGACATCTTATGATCTGTGGCATCATCAGACCTCAGAATCATTTAAAACAGTACGACCCCGGTGAAAGCTACAGGGAGAATGGCCAAACAAAAATCCCATATCGCACTCATAACCACAGAGCTCGGCGTTTTACTGAGTGCCACGGCATTCTGGGTCGATACCGGATTCGTTCCATCCAGCAAGGGGTTAAAAGACGTTCGCGAGCCATGCTCTATGTTCAGGCGTGTATTAATTGCTGATAGCTGAGGGCTGCTGTCTCCGGGCGTTGGAGGCAAGCTGGAGTCGGAAAGATAGATGTCTATATGATGACATTTCGGATTCACCACCGTTGACGGTTCTTCAGGGCCTCCCTTTGGACCCGCCAGCCCTAGAGACTACAGGTTGGTTGTCGGGGCCAGGAGTTACCCGCTGCTGATGTGAAGGACGAAACAACACTTTTGTTATTGTGTCATGGAACAAACCCCGAGGTGCAACATGCTTGCTGGCTTTAAGATTGAAAATAGGGGTAAAGAGCGGAACCCATTCGCTGCTTAGCAAGTTCGCAGGCGTAGTTAATAGTAATCATAACAACGAAGGGTTTGAATAGAAAAGATTTCTGTCAAGGTCGGGTCTGAGAAAGAGCTGCATCCTTGGTTTATTACGCAGCGCCAAAAATTAGTCGCGTTTGCTGTCTTGCTTTGGAGGGAACAAAATGTCTACTAAATCCTTTCTTCATCTTGGCTATGTCTTTTTATTCTATCATTATCATTGTATTGTACATTGTACGGTTCAATTTCTTCTTCTTCTTTTAGTTACATATATATATTATTATTATTATTATTATTATTATTATTATTATTATTGGAACGGGGGGAATATGGCTACATGCTGGCCAAGTGTGGATGAGATTCTCAATACAGTTGGTGTTCTTGGTGAGATAGTTATCGACAAGTGCTGGCTGGAGAGGTGTATTTATCGCATGGCATTGCTGAGAGAAGATGGGCAAACCCCTTTCTCTAGTTGTAGAGATGGGAGGAGTGCAAAAAAACCGGCGAAGAGATGTGGAAACATTTGACTCTATCATTCATATGCAGGACAATAAATAATAAGAAGAATAGAAATAGTCGTAGTAACAAAAACAAGCTGTCCTTCGCTGGAATATCTGAACAATAAAAATCCGAAATTAACAATCAACAATCAATATATATACTTCTAAAAATCAAAACCAAAAGCCCTGAACTCAAGACAATGTTAACAAGGCACGTAAACGCAAAACGCCTGACATCCCTACAACCTATCCTCTTTCTTCCTACTCCAAAAACCCTGCACATACCTAAACCAAATACAGGCGAGAACCTAGAAGTCGCCCCGTCACCTGCCACGTAGCCGTCATACAGAAATGTAGGAGCAGCCAAAACCAAAAATAAGCGATACAAACAACTCAAAACTGCCGTTATCTATGAGGTTGCAAACGTCCACCCGCCATTCCTCTTCAGGCGTTCCCTCTCCGCTAGATCCCATTTGATCTCATCCTGCGTCAACCCGTCTGGCCCACCCCAATTGGCACTACTAGTCCGATCGCGGAATCGCTTAAACCGGTCTTTGTTATCCTTGAAGATCTCCTCCATGTGCAACGGCGCAGTGGGGCCGAATACCTGCTCCCCATCTTTGCCTTCCTGGCTAATGAGGATGTTGTTTAGGTTTTCGGGTTTGGCCCAGTCGGGAACGTTGTACGGCTCTGCGTCGGAGTCCTCATCTTCGCTGTCCGTGAGGATTTCGGGAAGTTTTATGCTATCACCGTTAGGGTAAGCCGGGGAGGATTTGAGGATTTTCTGTGGGCCGTGTGCAGGCGTTTTGTGAGTGGTAGCGTGGGGTGGGTTTGAGTTGTCAGCGAAGGGGATTTTGCCGCTGGCAAATTTAGACATTTCCAGCGGGTGGCCGTTCCGATGCGGCTGTGATTGCACGGGAGCTGAAGGCTGGAAATGGCGGGGAGCTGTAGGGTTCTTGAAAAGTGACGGGCCAGCCTGGTGGTGGGGTGGAGGTGGCATCGTTGAATAACCCTGGTTGTACATTTGCTGTTTAGGAGCCTCCTGTTTGATGTTAGCATACTTCAACAATTTTGCGAGAAGACAAAGATGTACCTTGCGAACGTTGGACTGGCGGATTGGAGGTGCCATCGCTGATCGAATTGGTGGCTCAGCGGCGGCAATCTCATCATCTGTCTTTCGCCGTTTGCCGTCTGCTTGGTGCACAGCTGCTCCTACTTTCCCAGTAACCGGACGCCCTGAGCTTTCATCCTCCAGAGCTCTCTTCGGGGGTTTGGCCGGATTTGGTGGTGGATAATTTACCGGACGAACTTGCCCCTGTATACTATGCAGTCTCGAAGGTCTGGTGGATGGTAAGTCGTTTCGCTGAGATCCTTGTAACACAGCCTTCTCTTGTTGAAGAATAGAGCCCTTGAAAATCCGCACAAGTTAGGGAGTGGTGTAATCTGGAAACAATAAGGAGGCAAAAAACCTACCAGGTCATTCACAGGCGTTGGCTGCTGGTTACGTTGCTGCTCTAATTTTCTTGCATTTTCCAATCGTCTCTTTTCGATGGCTTGCTTGTGGGCAAGTTTCTTGGGGTCGTCTACTACCGACCGCTCCCGTTCTCGTCGTTCGGCCTCAGCACGGCTAGCTTGCTCTTGTCGACGTGCCTCTTCTTGTCGGCGCACTTCTTCCTGCTGAGCTGCTCGCTTCCGTTGGGCTTCACGCTGCTCCTGAAACTTCCAGTTAGCGTAAACCGTGGACTACAAAATTTACAAGCGGCATACCTCTCTTTTCTTCTCGGCGGCCTGCACGGCCTTTGATTTCGAACTCGTGGCAGAGGTGGCGCTCTTGAAACTACTAGTAGACGAATTCGTCTGCATTGATAATTTACTTCCTTTTTTATTTACACCTGGTGCAGGTGCCTTTGGCGCTGGAGTCGGGTTCGGGGTAGGCTCCTGAATACTCGAAGAGAGGGACGAATTGGACAACGGGATACGCTGTGAAAGAGTTCCAACCCGAATAGACACGGGTTGGGGCTTTGGTTTCTGGATGTCTCTCGTAGGTCTAACAGGACGACGGCTGTCATTCTGCTTGGATTGATGGTGAGGTTTCGCAGGAACAGCAAATTTGTGCTCTATATCTCGGCTTTGTTCCGGTTCACGTACAGATTGTTGCGTTGGTGGTCTTCTGGGGTTAGGTCTTGTTGCAAGGGGATCTCGGGCCGGGGTTGTCCCTACTGATTTGGGAGGTGGACGGTGTTCTGGTGCGACATTAATAGTAGCTTGCTTTTGTATTTCCTGCTCTCTGGATTTTCGCAATTGTTCTTCCATGCGCTGCATCTCTTGTCGTTCTTTCTCTTTTCGCTTCTCTTCTCTCTCTGTCGAACTTCTGGTTCGTCGTCCTTCCTGTAATGGAGGGCTCTGAATGGCAGGAGGCTGAGGTTCTTGGGAAAACATTTCTTGTAGATTTGGATAGAGACCGGTGTGGGAACGTGTGGTAGTAGGCGATGGCGACAGAGCCTCCTTTCTGGCAGCTGCAGATACACTGCCCGTACTTGTAAATAGTCCTTTGGCAGTTTTCATTATCGACTGTAGTCTGGATTTGGAGGCACTCAGAGGGCCATCATCCCTTCTTGGTGAAGAAACAGGAGTAACAATTTCACGGTCAGATGTGGTTCTCTGATGGCCTATGGTATTTGCTCTCGGGGACGTAATTATCGAGGTGGAGGCCGACTTCGCGTGAAAAGCAACGCCAAAAGGCTTGGCCGCAGGCGAACGCCTCTCTGGCGATCGACTATACATAATCCTTGACATACGGTCCTCTTGAGGTGCTAGCTGGCGGAGCTGCTGGGGAGATTCGGCAGTCATTTCTCTCACAGAATGGGACGACTGGAAATGTTGCGGCGACCTGGGTAGTGCTGTTCTGCTATCATAAGTTTGAGCCTCGATTGGGGATGGCCTCCGTGGTTCATCAGCAGCAGGCTCAACTTGCGACGACAGCTCAGGATATTGAACCTGGGAATTAACATTAGGTGCAGGGGCTGGGATTGACTTGGTACTCCGCGATGACTGAGACTTGCCAAGCATATTGATTTTCTCGTGGAGCAGCTGCGTTGAGGATTTGTTATAAGTAGTTGTACCCTTCATTGTAAGCTCGGATTCCTCGTGTAGAGGAGGAGGAGCGCGGTCTTCAGCAGTTTTCGTACTATCCTCAATATTTCCTTGTTCGGTGTGTTCTTCTGGCAAAATTTGTGTCATTCTTGCACCTCCAGTTTGGCGTCCATAATAACCACTCTGAATTGATTTGGATGAATCAATATGACTGATCCTCGACAATCTATGTCCTCCCATGCTTCGTTTTGTTATTGGCTCCCGAGCTGGAAGAGAAGCGAAGCTCAAGCTACTTTTACGGATAGGAGGGCGGTCAGGAGTTGATCCATCAGAAGGAGATCCGATGTCGTCGAAGTGATGATCGAGAGCAGCATCGTGTTCATGTGTTTCTACTTCCATCACGTTGGCTTTTTCAAGAGGTGTGGAATCAAGCCGTCCGGGTGCGTGAACTGGTTCTCGAGGTGATTCAAGATGCGCTGTGGTGGCGACTTGTTTAGGGGCGGCCATGGAAGTCGATTCATAAGGGTCAGTATCCATGGGCTCCACGGTGCTCTCCTTACTTGGCGCGATTTCTCTTGCGGAGTGGAAGGAAGCGTCCGTTGTGCGTCGGTCAACGGACGGGCTAAGATCATTACGATCGCCAGGGATGACAAGGGTCGAGTCTTCCAATGGCTGGGTAGCTGTTTCCACATATTCTTGCTCGGGCGCAGGTTCGTGTTCTGGCTTGCGTGCTGGCTCCGGCTCCAGTATCCGTTGGGTGTTTTGGTTTGACTTTGGCTCTCGCTCTGCTTCTGGTGCCTGCTCTGGTCCCTCCTCTGGTTCTGGCTCTTCTGGCACCGATTTTGATTCCGGCTCTGACTCCTTGTGCGGTTCCGAATATACTAGATCCATTTCATCATCCTCGTCGGGCATGCCATGGTATCCAGAGTCTGTATTGCAAGTGGGTTGTTTTGCTTGGTGGTATTGAACTGGGGACGAGTATTTCGGTTGCTCTTTCGGGGACGGTTTGGCAGCTAATTTCGTGATTTCCTGATGGAACCGGCTAGGCGGCGCAGGGCTGTTTCGGACATTCTGCTGTGAAGAGAATATGTCGCTCAACGGCTAGAAAGAGTTAACAGTCGCGTTTTATTATTTAACAAGAAAACCTCATAATCCGCGCATAAGGTTCATGCAATGGTGATACGGTGCACTTACAACCCGAGCCTCTCGTGGGGTCTTATGCTTCCTAGCTGTTCTTGGAGTCTTTCCCCGTAGCTTTCCTGGGGTCTTAAAGATCTCGGTTACGTTACTATTCGCATATATCAGCTCCTATTCCCATCATTCTTCAATGTACCCGCTATAGATCAACAAAACCGAGGAGGGGGCTGAGTGGTTGGTCGTACAATTGATTCCTGCTGAAGATCTCTGCCATATGCTCATTCAGCCAATCCATCTCATTCTGCGCAGGATACTCGATTTCATCCATCTCCTGATTGATCAGCTGTTGTATATTCTCCTTCTCAGCGGCGATCCAGGTTGAGGAGCCCACAGCTCTCTGCGCCCTCGTTGTGGCTCCGGAGGCCATTTTTTCGATGTAAACAACGCGACTTCAATGGCAGATGAGGGACGCGTCGCAGGAACAAATACGCAGATAAAAACGGGCTTCAACTAGGCGGGGGAGCCTCTCGCCAGTATCTTGCAGTCCGGCGCTAGATGCAGTGGCATTGGGGACACATTGGGTGGTTGGTGTGAAGTATTGTCGTTCTATCGATGGTTTGATATGGATCTTTCGACGTCGAGTTGTCGCCAAACAAGGAAGTTGCCCAAAACAGGACCGGATGACTAAACATGCTAACTCGTCTTGGAAGCCGCGAGATCACCTGCCTACGCTAGCCCTAATGCCAAGCCCTCCAGCCCTAACTCCGCTTTGGGTTCCTTCGGCCCGAGCTCGCAAAATCCGCATGTGTCGAGATGTTTTGAACAAGACATCACCCCGAGTTACAGCATCTAGCAAAGAACCCGCTATTTGCTTTGGAATTGGTAGATGTGGGACATGGAGAGCTCTTCCGCGCGCTGCTCGGCCATCCTCCAGTGCCCGCCTGTCCATGTAGCCTCCACCAAGCACAGCTGATTGCTACTTGATCTGGTATTTCGTCAGGCGGCGTGAGTGATGGGGACCATGCTGGTAGCCCGGCTCTCGGAACCTTCCCGAGTCAGAAGTTTATATCTAACTCTCCATGTATATTTCTATTTAATCGATTGAATTGCTACTTTTGTTGATACTTATAGGATCTTGTCACATCTTTTGCACTCTTCATCCTGCGCCTGTTGTACGGAATAGAATAGCTAGCCCACCACCCGAGAAGGCGACGGCAACCCCTACGCAGCCCACCAATTGGCTGACCTATTGGGATTTTTATTGATTATCTGTATTGACCTTGTCTTCTCTGCTCTTCTTCTAAGAACATATTGACTTCATCGACCACCATGGCCTCGCGCCTCCTCTGCCGCTCACTCTTGGGCTGCTCACGTCGCCAAGCCCCCACAAGGAGAACAGCCGCGGTACGGCAATGTCTACAAGAGCGATCATTCTCTGCCTCCCCGTCAAGTAGAATCATGGAACTCAGCTGCTTCTCGCAAAACCAACTAATGGTCCGAGATGCTATAGCGAAGATCTGCTCTAACTTTCCCGATGTGGGTGATTTTCTCGTCCTTACATATGGATTACAAAATGCAGGCACATGTACATGTTTTTCCTTGAAAGAAAAGCGCAAGCCCGATTGACATCAAATATTTGCAGGAATACTGGGCTGCGCGCGACGAATCAGGCGAATACCCTCATGAACTGCACGCGGCATTGGCCAAGGATGGCTGGATTGGAATTGCTCTTCCCGAGGAACTGGGCGGAGCTGGCCTTGGCATATCAGAAGCGACGATGATGTTACAGACGATTGCACAGTACGTTGACTTGCGATTTATTATTGAGCTCTTTGGCAAAAGGACAAAAATCAAAAGGGAGAAAAAACTCAGAAAAATGCCCTGACTGAATACTAATAGGAGCGGTGCCGGTCTCGCTGGTGCGCAATCGATTCACGCAAATGTTTACGCTACTCAGGTATTCATGACAGTGTCCAGACAATTGACTGGCCGGTAACGCTAAATATTAATTGCAAACATCTAGCCCGTTGCCAAGTTCGCGACAGAAGAGCAAAAACAGCGGATGTTGCCCAGGTTGATCGCCGGGGACTACAGAGTTTGTTTTGGAGTGTAAGACAGACAAGCCCCTTTGCCTGGTCATATACCTTCTAGGATTGCAACCTGACGAAGAAGTAAAATAAAACAGCACAGAACCAAATACGGGGCTTGAGACGCTGAAACTCCGCACGGAGGCGATTAGGGATGGTGACTCGTACAGGGTATCTGGACAAAAAATGTAAATCACCAGCAAAGTGCCATCAGGCACAAAACACCTTTCGCCAACATATTTAGCAAAGAAAAACGAAACTAACCCGGCCCCTTCAAGCTGGATATCTTCCGCCCAAGTCGCCAAGCGAATGGTCCTCCTCGCCCGCACCACGCCGCTTGAGGAAGTCAAGAAGCCATCCGAGGGCCTCTCGCTTTTCTTCATTGACTTCGACAAGGATGCGTCGGGCCTGGGCCTGCGCAGGATTAAGAAGATGGGCGGCCGCGCCGTTGACGCGAATGAGGTCTTCTTCGACAACTACCGCATCCCTGCGGATTCCCTCATCGGCGAAGAGGGCGACGGTTTTAAAATCGTACGTCCTTTACCCCCCTATTCAAAAAGAAAAAAGAAAAAAAAGAGGGAGAGAGCAACATAAAAATGGAGTATGCGGTTCATACCGTTATATTAACCACCCCCAGGTCCTCCACGGCATGAACGCCGAACGCTGCCTCCTCGCGGGCGAAGCGCTGGGACTGGGTTACATCGCACTCGAAAAGGCCGCCAAATACGCCAAGGAGCGCGTCGTCTTCGGCCGGCCCATCGGGCAGAACCAAGGCATCGCCCACCCGCTCGCGGACGCCTATATGAATCTCGAAGCGGCGAAACTGGCCACGTACCATGCCGCGAGGCTGTACGATGCTAGCAAGACTGATAAGTCGATTACGCAGAAGGCGGTTGGAGTTGCGTGTAATTTGGCGAAGTATCTTGCGGCGGAGGCAGCGTTTACGGCGTGTGAGAGGGCGGTGAGTTTGGGATTGACCTATTCTTTTGCTTCCTTGGTTTGGATTTGCTCATTTGCTCACCTTTTTATGGTTACTAATATACTATTCTTTTTCTAGGTGCTCGCGCATGGTGGGATGGGTTATGCACAAGAGTATCATGTTGAGCGATATCTGAGGGAATGTTTCGTGCCGCGGATTGCGCCTGTCAGTCGAGTGAGTACTCTTTCTCTTCGACAATCAAAATATTAATTGGGTATATTTAGGTTGTGAGGATTCGAGAGCTAACAGTATAATTAGGAGATGATTATGAACTATGTCAGTGAGAAGGTGCTGGACCTGCCTCGTAGTTACTAGATAATTTGAGGGATTTTTCCATTTTCTTCGTTGCCGGTTGAGAGTGACGACATAGCAGTGCAATAATGGGAATGGGGAAGGATTGTCATAGAGTTTTTTTTATCCCTGATTTTTCCCCCGTTTAAATTTCGTCTGGTTATATTTTCCCATACCAAGGTATCCATATTGCTCTATGATTGGATAGATGGAGTTGGAATAACCCTTTGCCACTGTTTATATAAATAGTATAACACTCATTGTTGGTTTGAAGATATATTTCATCATTGCTTTCATCATAGTTAACCTCTGAACAGCTCTACATAATCTGACCTGTGTATGTGGGTTAAAGGTAGAAGCTTTGATAGTTTTTATTGTGTAGTTATTTATTTGGCTAGTTATTTAACTGGTTAGTTAGTTATAGTTATTTATTTCATGTACATAAGTTAGCTAGTTTGCTGGAACTAGTTCACAAATATTCATATTGCTCTCACATGCTAGCTCTTGGTTGTGTGCTGGCTGGCCCCTTTTGACCATATCTGGGGGGGGAATGAAATACACAGACAAATAATTATTATTTTTGTCAAAAGATTGATCAGTTGTTTAAGTATTTTATTTATATTTTATAAATTTATTTAATGTATTTCCAATGCACTTATTAATCTGCAGAATTTAACTTGTAATATTTAATTGCCAACAGTGGTTCAGGCTAATCCAAATTATTTTTTATTATTTTTTCGTTTTGATTTTGATTTTGATTTTTTATTTTTTTCCGGCTCAAACCTGAATCTGACCATTTCTTCTGCTCTGACGTTAACTACTTTCCTTCATCCACAACCAAACCACAGCAACAAAAACAAACATCACCAACTACACTCAACTCAACTCAACTCAACTCAGCTACGTCCAGCTTCATACATCTGTCTCCAGCTGTCATCTCTTCTGCTTCTTCCATCGTTATCCCCATAGTCTCTGCTATCCATCTGCTATCTCATCCATCCAGTTCAGCTGCCTCTCGCCCTACTTGCTTCTACATCATCACACCACACACATGGCGAAGGAATCTACACAGCCGGGCGGAAGCCCTCATCTAGGTAAATCTGAATCCCCTGCGGATCCCTTATTTAATCTTCCAAACTAGTAGAGTTGCATCCTGTACATCACTGTAAGGTAGGTCTATACTTCTGCTTCTCCCCTCCCTTTTGTGCCGCTCTATTTCAAGCTACGTACGGACAATGACATTGACGCAGTTGTGCTTTGGATTATCTAGTCAATGCTCGCTTTCCCCCCTTCAATTCCACCAGCATGACGGAGCAGCGTCCTCACAAATTCTCTATAGGGGCCCAGATCGATGCTCTACAATGCGAAGAAATGTATTCTGACAAAGGTGCGGACCGCGGACCGTGTGAATCTCGGCCAAATTAGGAAAACAAGCTCAATGCTAATGTATTTTTGTTTTATCATTTCCAGATGTCTTTCACCACATAGGAAGCACCAGGGTTAAAACCAATGGGACGACTGATGCCACTGCTACAGGGCAACCTTTAACTCGTATGTGCTTCCTGTAATTGCGTGCACTGCTTCTAAGTTACATATTTTTTTTATTTTTTTTTATTTTTTGCTGCTTTTGAGCAAGAACAGAATTCATGTTAACTCCGATATCTCGCAGATTACCATTCCCGCATTTACAGCTTGTTGAGCGTTAGTTTCCCCAATTCGCATTTCTCTTCAAAAGGTATCAGGAAGTATCAGTGGCTGATATCATTTTCCAGTGGGAGCGCCCTCGAACCACCGCCGTCTCATTTGCTACGATTGTCAGTCTTATTATTGCAGCCCGATACCTGCCTCTGCTACGATGGCTCTTCAAGTTTTCGTATCTGTCTCTTGGATGTGAGATAGCAACCTAGGTTCCAATCTCGTTACTCCACACCTCGCCATCTTCTAACACACTATTGATATGCAGTCACCATTTCCCTCGAAGTCGCCGGGAAAGTCATGTTCTCCCGTGGCCTAGCTAGCTCCTCCCGCCCCCGCAAATATTACACCATCCCCAAAGATACCGTAGAGAGCATCCTGGAGGATCTAGAGCAATTGATGGACTTCTTCCTCATTGAGTTCCAGCGCATTCTCTTCGCGGAGAACCTCACCTACACTCTTGCCGTAAGCTCTTTCCTCTCCATAGGACGCAAACTGATCTATATCAATGAAGCTAACCCATAAATTCCATCGCCACTCAGGCCTTCACCGCCGCCCTGACCTCCTACTGGCTCGTCCGCTTCCTCCCTCTCTGGGGCCTGGCCCTCATCCTCGTTTCCGTTGCGTATCTAGGACCCCTGGTATATATTAACAACCGAGAAATTATCGACACCCAGATCGATCAGATCCAACAAATCGTCAACTCCCAAGCCACCCAGGTGAAGGAGATGGCCGGTCAGCAGACCGCCCACGCCACCCATATCGTCAAGCAGTACGTGGGTGACTACACTGCCAAAGCAAACGAGTATATGGGCTCCGCTCGCTCTCTCCCACACGTCGAGCAGGTTGCTCCAACAACCGTACAGGCCCAGCCGGAACTCAGGTCCGCCGCCGAACCCGCCGTTGAACCGTTAACTGAACCTGCTGCTGTCGCTTCTGATGCTGAACCTGTCGCTTCTGAACTTGCTGCTACTGAGCCAACAGATGCAGTGCCCGCAATCGTGCATACGGACTTTCCCACAGCACCCAAAGATGACATCGTGCTCGGTGAAGTTCCGGCACGGGAATCCAGAGAGGAGACGAAGTCAGACGAGCCACTTCTGGCATAAATTGCACAATACATACCGGAGGATCGAGACCTTTCTTTTCGCTCCCGATTGCCATGTCATTCCGTAGCCTGTGAAGTGGGCATGGGAAAATTAATAATAATGACATAAAAGGACAGGCAGCAAGGAGACTGAGAGGAAAAGAGGACAGGTTGCGGGTTTTCCCTCTTGCGGAACTTTGTAATCTTATTTCTATTATATTGTTCCGTTGCGAGTGAGTGACCTAAGTGTTACGTTCATGATACTAAAAAAAGCTGCGTGTTTTTTATCGTTCTTTTTTCTTTGTTATTTGTTCTACTCCTCTCCTCCGGTTTTGAACCCAACCTTTTCTCCTGGCCTTTTCGGTTCATAGCAAACAAAACCCTTGCTTTTTTTTTCTGAGCTTGGGTTAATTAGTGGATGATTCATTACTTTGTTCCACTTCGTTCTCCCTCTCTTCACCCCCCTTTCCTTCCTTTATGGCCTGGTATGGTGGCAATTAATGAATGTCTTTGATCTTCCAGGGTCGTTTTTTCTTTCTTCATAAAAGGTTCGGGTTTCCCGGGGGGGGGGGGGGGGGTGTGGACGACGGAGGGGTTCATTCTATTTTTTCTTTGGCTTTTCCCTTTCTGCTGGACGCAGTTTTGGTCCGACTGGGCATAGGTTGAAAGTTCGAGCAAAGTAAAGCAAGACAAGGCAGCGCAGGGCAAGGAAAGGCATAAGGGAATTACTTGATGATTTTTCCTGTCGTCCTTCTTTTTTATCATGTCACATTTGCATTTGCTCTTTTTTTTTTTTTTTTTTTTTTTTTTTTTTTTTTTTTGTAATTGTCGTTTTATCCTGTGTGTTTGGTCATTCCGTTCCATTTCTCTGCCCTCGATTTTTGAGCTTTTCTCTTTTCTTTTTTGTTTTTGCTCCATTACCCCTTTCATAACAAGTGTTTGCTTGCTTTGGATGACGTAACTTTCTTTTTCTCCTTTTTTCACCCTTAAATTCTTTCGTGTGTTATCATTGTCAAACTGTGAGAGCTTTATTTAATTCATCCAGGCAACTACTTCCCTCTTACCATATTGGGCCTATTTGTTTGTTTCTGATTGCTTGCTTGCTTGTTATGCGTTAACTGCAAATGGCTACCCTACCCGGCCATCCCTCTCGCTTTGTATTTATTCAAAGGGGATATCTTGTCATTTCGATTTGTTGTCGTCCCAAATTCCAAACCCAAGCCCCTGGAAGAAATATTCCATCATTTTGTATGAGTGGTTGATAACGGTTTATTTTGAAGGTCGTTTTGGTTTGTCTTTTTCTTTGCTGGATCGCGACAACTGAGATAGGGCGCATGGTTTCTGTCAGGGCAGGAGAGAGCTACGGAGGGAAAATAAAAAAAAAAAAGAATAAAAATATAAAATAAAATAAAAAAAGAAAAGTTGATATATTCAGTGGGGGACAGCTTACATACAACCTTTGAACAATGGCCACGCAGGTTGCGTACTTCATCAAGAGAAGCTATTCTTGGTTTGTTTGGACTTTGAAATGGAATTGATATGGGTGATTAGTGATTACAGTGCTGTTGGTTGCTACGCCATTGCTGATTTAGGTGATATTTTGGACTTCCAAGTTCAAAAATACCTCACCCTCTCTCTATGTGTTGATTATTATTGCCGTCGAATAAAATGGATGGTTGGTTGGGTGTATGTATGCTATTGAACATGAGTATGAGTATCACGTAAAGTATCAGAAATGAAAATGTACAGTTATCACCTATCAATGTATTATATTATATTTTTTATTGTCAAATTCTCTCCTCTCTCTCTCATTCTCTCTCTCTCTGGCCCTCGCTTGCGTGCTTCCCGTCCTAGCTTCTTCCTGTCCTGTCATTCCGTGCGCGTTGCCAGCGACCAGCCAGCCAACATCCCCGTTCGTTTCCATTATTGAAAGAACTGATGAACATGTATCCTGTCAGGCTGCGAATTGCATACCTAGGAACCAGTAACTACTTACTGAACCTGCAGGGTCAATACGCTCCGTTCCGCAGTCCAATGCACGTGGGGTTCGCAGCTCTGCAGGTATGCTGCGCATTCCCACAAAGCTACTAAGGTATATATCCCCGTGCCAACGTCTGTCTTTCACCACTTTGGTCACCTTGTGCGTACATGTATGTACCCCGCCATTAATTTAGTATGCGCAGTGGCCTGGGAGATACAAGATGAATACAGCATGATACCTTCCCACGTTAAATTAGCCTAATGGCCCAGAGTGGCCAAGGCCGTGGTGAAATATCAATATGTTCTGCTAGTTAACTACATGTATATCCAGTAAATCATGGTGTCTATCAAGGATGACTAGGGAGGGGAAATTAGTGATTGTTAATTAAAAGGCGGTGGTGAGGGAGGGAGAATGGGTGGTATGTAATTTCATTCCATTTTTTTTTTCTTTTTTCCCTTAACGGTTACCATCCATATATGTCTATATGTCGTATGAGGAGGACCCAAATACTCCGTACCAGCGAATAAATTTAAGTAATTGAAGCATGAAATAATAAAGCGCATATTGCTAGGCGTCACATCGTTGCAAAAAGCTGAACAAAAGAAATACGAAATAAAAGGGGGAAAAAGGAGAGTAAGGTAGTTGACCAGGAAAAAAGGGGAAACGAGAATGAAAAAGCGAATGACAGAATAATACCATCGGACGTACTCCTCCAACACCCAACATACAGAAATGCCCCACGTAAACGTTGCGCAATTCCCAATGTAAGTACCTGAAGAGGTAGTTCTCCAATAGGTGCGCGATAAAAAAAGAGACCAAAAAGAGACCAAAGCAAACCACCCACCCCACCGCTGCTATGCACAAGTAAGGTGTAAGCCAGTATAGCCAACCAACCCCTTGTCGCCTACTTTAAACTCATGGATAGTTAGATCAACAAAAAAAAAAGACCTTACCCTCAAGTCAGCCGATAAAAGTCAAGGAATATCATTTCGTGTCCACAACATACCAGCAGAGCACTTTAGGGAATGTTGTCTTCTTTTTTCTTTTTTTCTTTTTTTCTTTTTTTCCTTTTATCCCCCCTACGCTGAAGCCCGCCTCCTCTTCCTCTCATCCACACGCACTACATCCTGCATATGCAACCTCATAAGCATATACGCTGCCCTCGCATCGTTTGTAAGGGGTAAAGGCGAACTACGCCGTTTGGCGTCGCCAGCTTCGTCCATTTCCTTGTTGGAGATTTTAGGTAATGAGCCCCCACGTTCACGTTCGCCTTCAGGGCTGGCTTCAGTTTCAACATTCTCGTCACCGCCGTCACCATCATAGCTCTCGTTATCCGTATCGTGGTACGAGTCATACTGCAACACCTGCTCGGTGGGTGTGCTCTCTGCCGAATCCTCTAACTCCTCCGGCTCTGTCTCATCGTTGACATCTATATCCATATCCATGTCGTCCACTAGCTTTGCAGTCTTGTTCCGCATAATACTAAGGGAGGAGAGTATTGTCTGAGGAGAGGGTATCCGGGACTGGCTGGTTCCCGTCGTCCGTGGTGTACTTGCTGGAGGGTAGAGGCTATCCCATGGTTTGGATGGGGAGAGGCAGTATGCACCTCCGGCGTCAGTGTAGGCGGTGTATTCCCTATCTCTATTGGCCCCGACTCTTACTCCTATCAAATGAACCGGCTTTGCTCGAAGTTCCTTCCTGCTCCATCTGGATTCATTGGGATTTGCGCGCGGGTAAGGTTCAGCAAAGCTACGCATCTGGTTTGTATTGCTCCGTGAACGCCCTTCTAGAAGTCGATACTGTTTAGCTGAATTCGCCGCGTCGCGCACTATGGACTGGTCGATCACCCATCTGCCAAACCTCGGATCGTCGGGGGGAATGCACATTGTGAGAAACTCCACACCAAAAAGGGGTGTCAGGGCGTAGCGGATCTTCCAACAGAAAGTAGCTGCAACGGCCTTGGCTGCTTCGAAGGGCATCCAATATCCTGGTAAAATCATCAGAGCTGTGAGTTCTGATAGGGGTTAGATGGAAGAGTCTCACCTTGGGCCGCTAGTGCCCCCCCTGTGATGCTGTGGCAAATTTCGCGGAGACCAGGGTTGGCATTTAGCATTTTCGCTGGGGCTGTCTGCGGAATGGGTCAGTTTCACACTGGGGAAAAAGGAAGAACTTCATACCGATAAACATACCTTGGAGTAGTTATTACATCGAAACAAAGAGGTAGTTCGAACGAGGCCGATGTTGTAGTCCCACATAACGGTATATGTCTTATCGTCGCCGGGAACTTTGAAGGTATACTGGAACACTATATATAATATTTCAGACCAACGTATACCTTTGGGAATAAACGCAAAATAATTATCAAAATATGGGGCCACTACTCATACCTTCGAAACTCTCCCGTCCTGTCTTCTCTAAAAATGACTTCTTCTCGCTATTATACGGAATATGCCTTGGATACTCGGTGATATGACCCATGGGATGGATTTGGAATTCTTTGTGCGCTGCAGCAAGCTCTGGATTCTGATACTCGCATGGAGGATATCGCAGCTCTCCCCGCGTTCTACCCCGAGTGAACACGGCAGCATCCTTGGACACCTTCTGCTTCTTCTGCCTTGGCGGGGGTGACTGGCGGTACTCTCTTGAAAAGCGACTGGGACAAGGTGTGGGGAGCTGTTGGGGATATATCTCTCGCGCTTCAGGTTCTGGGTTAAGGAGCGAGGCAATAGACGTCATGGCTTATACCAGGGAAATAGAAGAAGTGAGGTCGCCGTCTGGATCAAAATAACGTATCTCCGCTCGATACCAACGGATGTGTTGCACGTCTCGAAAAATTAAAAAGTGGAAAAACGATACTCAGGGTAAAAGGGACAAAATGAGGAAATGGGAAAGGAGCTTGGGCCAGTGACGGGACAACTGTGTAATTTCGAACGAGAAAAGAGAAAAGCATTGACAAATAGCCAAACAGAAGCGAGGACGAGGGAGAAATTTAAAGCTGGATGGGATCTGGATAAAATCTAGCAAATGTCACTTCACATGAAGCAAAAACGCAGATGCGCAAGGTAAACAGATCTACTCCCAAGGCCAAGGTAAAATGCAGATTGATGCATATAAGACTAAGAAGGTTTGTCGGCTTTTGGCATTATGACATATGGGTGAAGGAGCAAGGAGAGAAAATAATGACCCTCTTAGTCTACATCAGGCAGATTCCGGACCGATCTCTTTGTCAGGAACCTTCCGATAGCCCTGGTGAGGAGGCGATGATGCTCTGCCGGCTGCTGTTGGGCGCTGAACTGGCGGGTGAGGTATACTGTGCCATTCCTGGGTCTCCTCTGCTTGTTTGTTTGTAGGTTGCTAGTGGCCACTTAGCTTCCTACCTATATATCGAGGCCGGTTAGGCAAGCGGTGAACAAGACACAAATGGCAGGCAAGTCAGGAGACACAGGGTAAATGTCTCAGAGCTATCCCCTAGAAGAAAGTTCAACATCTCGCCCTTTTCGTCAAGGGGTGTTCTGATGTCGACGTTGAAACAAATGTAGACCATTTGAAATGAAAAATCCCGTAATCAAGTTAATGGCCCTTCATCTCGGAATTCTGGCATGGCAGCTAAAAAATGCGGCTGGAGCAGCGGTTATCGCCCTGTAACTTCGTTTCAGTACTCCCTGACGGCTGAGAGATAGGTCAAAGATAGAATTACTGATACACAGCGCGCCGACCCGAATGAAAGGGTTAAGCCCGCTGTGCCTAGTAGTTTTTGTCAGGCAAATTGCATCCAAGTTAGCCAGGAATGGAGTGCACCCCATCGAGGCAAATCAGTTCCACTGACAGATGCAAACACCCGCGGAACGGGTGAGGAGGCGCCACATATGTACTTTGCACCTATCTAGAATCCGGACGCTGTTCAGGCAGCCGTTCCCATGGGACATCGCACCCTTAGGCATTCTTCAGGAACGCTGGTTGAGCGCTCTACCTGGCGACCTAGTGCTCATCAGGTATTCACAAAGAGCAGTATTAATTGCGTGGGGGTACGGGGTAAAGAAGTAATACATCGAAAGTAGAGAGGATGATAGCATAGTATGACATGAAGCTCGGGACTCAGGTTCCCGTCTTTCTTCATTCTCTCGCTATCAAATATTCCTCCCCTCGCTCAATATTTCTCTTTTGATTTGTTATTCTTTATTCGATTTTTGATTGCCATACGCAATGCAATCCAGGTCGCTCTTTTTCTCGATTCACAGCCCCCACCGCCAGAAGCAAGGCTGGAAAGGCTTAATAGGTATCATGTCAAGCCTTAAAATTAACTTAGGGACAGAGGGTAGAGGCGAAAGGAGAATGTCTTGGCCAAATGGCTGAGAAGTATACCGGGTATGTACTGTTTGGTACAGCTCGTGTTACGGGTAGTTGCTGGCCGGTCAGACTCGCTAGATGCAGGAATGGGAAGATCAGAGACAAAGATGCAAGATGATTGGCCCGTGTATCGGAGAATAAACAGCCAGTGTGTCCAAGCACCAGTCATGAGAGCTGTCATTTTGTTTGGATTTCGAATGTTGAGGACGGGGGTATAAGGGGGTGTGAGAAGCGTAATGAATGATAAAATGCCAAAGCACTGGCATTATCTGGTGTTAAAATATGTAAGTAAAATGCCAGAAACTTTTCTGAAGACTCGGAAGATGTGTGGTACTGTCAAATGCCGTAACCTTTTTTCCTTCGTTCAGCGAGGTCCAGCTGCCCAAGAGTCAGAGGCAACGCACCAAAGCGTGGAGAGGATTGCGTTGAGAATCTCACATCCGCCTCCAAATCTACGCTGGCCCCAATGCCCTCATCCTAGGCAACCCGAAATAATGGGGGTTTCGCTTCCCACCGATGAAACCGTAATAATCAAACCCAGTATGTACTGTACATACAAAGGGCGGTAGGGGAATTTTCCTCCGATCCATGACTGTAGTGATGCAGCTACCCGCAGAGTTCTTCAGGCACGGATCCTCCCTCATTTAGAGAGGACAGCGAAAGGGAAACGAAAAAGAAAAAATCAAAAAAGTCGTTTAGGGCAGAAGTAATTTTAAGCAAGAAAATAAAATAGTAAAATAACATAAAAAATAGAATTGGTCTTTCCCGTACATTGGGATATTGATTTACTGTAAACCCAACGGTGCCCCCCAACCCAAAAGTATCCTTGCTACGGATTGCAAAGGAGCGCTTTTTTGAAAGGGAAGATAGCACCGTTATTGATGGTCAACTCAGCTCCTCTTCTCAGGAGCCAATACGGATTATTGTTGCTGGCAAATGGTGAGAAATGACGCCAGGTTGTCTTTTCTCGCCATGGCCCTTCTAACCGGCAAAGAAAAGAATTGTTCGTTCAAAGCCTAAGTGGACCAAATAGTCAGTTGGTTCTTCTGGTTTGAGATGTTTTGAGTAGTTGCTAGTACTATTGAAGAAAAATAGCCTTTTGCCATATTTGTTTTAATGTCTGTTTTGTTTGTGGCTGCTGGACTCACCTTGGGTCAATTAAATAAACTAACTGCCTTCTGGGAACATTGCTCTGCTGTTCTACATATAATCAGAACAATGAAATCCGAAGTTTAGAAAGATATAAAACAAAGCATGGAAACAAATGAGAAATCAATCATGATGCAAAGCTGCTGAGTGCTGTTGGTAGAATTTGATATTTGATCGAGGGAAGTTTAGCGAAGATGGTTTGGTTTGGGAAAGTTATGATGTTGTGCAGGATTTTAGCCCAATGCGGAAATAGCGTCAGTACAAGGGATTCAATAATGTTCAGTGCAGCCCAATCCACCATTATTAAATCGCATAACCCAAGTGTACATTTCACACCCACTAGACTAGAATCACATTAACTTATTATTTACAATTCATCTAATCAATTCAATTGGCCGCTCAAAAACATCCACACAAAGGCAGAAGGTAGATTTCCCAGTTGCCCATCTGTATGTATGTAGCTGCCCGCCTCATCCGGAACTTCCCAAGCCAACTCATTTCTCGCACACGCTACCTTTCACCTCCTACCCTATGTGCAGTACTATATTGCATATGTACATTACATGCACATGTACATAGTGCACCTTGGCGCTCTCAGCTTTCATGGCAAGCAGGAGAAAGGATTGACGTGTTGGGGTTTAGAGTAGCACATCAAGAAAAAAACCACATGTAGCCCTTCCTAATCTATGAACGTGAAAATACCCAAACAAACCATAGTGATATAAGATATCTCATTAGAAAGAGAACAAAATTCAAGGGAGGGTCCCAAGAAAACTGTAAATAAATAAATACAAAATGCAAGCAGAGATAACAAACTCGAAAACTGCAGAACATGCAAATAAGGGCATTAAAAAGTACCAAAGTGTAGAAGAAACTATGTAGGAGAATAAAGTCCCACAATAGCCACACACTACCCACGGTCAGTCATCCACCTCCTTCGCCTAATCAATATCAGAAAACTCTTCACTCGACCCATCGCCATCATCTTCCTCATCTTCCTCATCGCTATCAACATCAACTACGTACGTAGGTTTCTTTGCTACCGCGGCTGCCCGACGTGATGGACGACCCCCAGCGGTCCGTGCTGGCACTGGAGCAACCACCTCATCTTCGGAATCATCCACATCGAAACTATCATGCCGTCCCTTTCCTTTACCCTTTCCCTTTCTAGCTGGTACCGGGGAATCGAGAATGTCATTCGCCATCGCATCGATATCATCGCCGCCGTCATCATCGGACAGTGAATCTGTTAGTTTCTGCGACTTAGCTTTCTTCGCAGCATAGGCTTTGGCGGCGGGGGAAAGGACGGTTTTCTTGGCTGGGGCCGCAGCGGTGGCTTTGGGTTTGGTAGTGGGCTTTCTGGCGGTAGAGGTAGACTTGGTTGTTTTTGCAGCGGGCTTCCGAGGGGCGGTACTAGGCTTTGCTCTAGCAGCTGCCGCTGACCTTGAAGTGACGACCGCGTCCGAATCGCTACCTGCACCCTCACCCTCATCACTGGAAAATTTAGCATCCTTAGGTTTCACTAGAAGCGACCTCCTCGGAGAATTCTGAGGAATAAGTTTCGAGTAGTCCGTTTCATCGGGATCAAAAATATCGTTACTAGTGGCTTTGGGAGTTTTTGATGATGACGATGTCGCCGGTTTAGTGCCGGCGCTAGTACCTGGGCGTGAGAGTTCGGAAAAAAGAGTTCGACACTCCGATGATGCGTCGGCAGAACGGCCAATTCCCTTCACCATCTGGCTGACATCCCCAAGCAAATCATCACCATCGTCGCTGTCAGACTCGCTTGAGTTGTTGAACGTGATAGGTTTGCGATTCGTTCTCGCTTGGCGTGCGGGCCTTCTCGATACGATTTCCACATCTGAGCCATCATCATCGTTCAGGGGAATCCTCTGAGGTGGGGGAGCCGCTTTCTTACTTTTCTTCTCCGGCAAAGCTGCAGACTTAGATTCTTCGAAATCGCTTTCAAGTGCAGCAGCTGACTTCCCTGGCTTTCCTTTCGAGGGTTGTGCTTTCGTTTTCTTGGGAGGCACAGGCATCGGTTGAATATCATCAGGTTCACTTGGTCCACCAGTCCCTGTGTCCATATCCACATCACGGGGCTCGGCAGGCTTTGGGGATGCCGTCCTAGAAGTTTCTTTGACTTTCGGCTCAAATTCGTCGAAATCGCTCAACCCGTCAAGCTCAATAGGCTTCATAGGTTTAGAAGAAGCAGCTCTCGGCTTCCTAGTTGGGAGGATTTCTGGTTCGAAATCATCCTCATCATCCAAACCGCTCGCACCGTCGGCACCACCAAAACCCTTGTCGCTGCTCGGTTTAGGTTTCCTAGACGCATTACTGCTCACATAGTTAAGAAGGTCGCCCTGCGGCTTTATTCGATTCATAGTAGTTGATTTGGCAGATTTCTTCGGTTTAGGAAGGCCGAAATCACTATCATCGTCATCGGCAGCCTTGCGTTTCTTACCACCTTTAGTAGCCGTCTTGAGTTTCGTAGATACGCGACGGGCACTCTTCGCACGCTTAGCTTGACGGCGACCTTCGTCCTCAAGTTGGAATTTCCATTCCTCTAGGAAAGCATCAAGATCAGCTCTCCAGATATGA